CTAGACTGAGAAAGGGGGAATTGAGAAAAATCACTGCAGTACTCAAAATTAGAAATGGGGAAAACATTTTGAAGGATGCGCTCCGAAATTTTTTGTTAGAAGAAACTTTATCTTCAGTAGAAACCATTTATTTCATTTTCATTTTCATTTTCAATAAATTACACATTCAATGACCACATCTTGTATTTCTTCTTCTCCTCCCTTTGGCAGTATGGAATCTCCTTATCGCCTGTGTACCTAAAACGCGTCAAACAATATATTTTCCAATTCTCAAAAATTCCTAGAAGACCTACCATGTGCAAATTAGATATGAGAGGTGATCCATCATCATCTGCTCGCTTTCTATCGAGATGTCGTTGATTACTACCCAAGGCACATGTCGATGTTTGTCGGGCCAAACACTATCTGGAAAAGATATTCGAAGGATTGAAAATAATTCAAAATGTTTACTTAAATAAATCCTACCGGTTCTTTCACCAGCTTTCTTCTGTAGTAGTTCTCCAAGTCGTGATACTAGACATGATCTGCAAAAAATGTCCATAAGTTGAAAAATGAATTTCGCGTAGAAGTGTAATATTATAGTATAAACTATTAGACGGTTGAGGTCCTAGATAATCAAACCTAACTTTTTTGAGCACGTACACCAAAACACCAACTTCAAATGATAGATACGAGGTACCAGAAATGCTCGAATTACAATATTACGCAAATGGCTAGTTTTGTTTGTATACACAATTTTTATTAGATATAATCAAATTGACTTCAAAACACTTATTTGAGGACCAAGCAGCTGCCTCGCCTTTCCCATTTCCACTGTTATAAGCTTAATTCGTGCTCCTCAAGATAACTGGCAAAAATACTCTAACCCCAAAAGAATTAATGGGACCGCTACCAGCACATAATTTCGCCTTTCTTCTTGCAGCCAATTTGCAAGCGAAAAAAAAACTTTGCGGCCAGAAATACTATCAAATGATAAGAACTGTACTCTGAGTAGTGCGTTTTCAAATCTTCTGTCTCATAATTAGAATACGGTAACAAGGAAAACTTACTGGAC